AAAATTTTAAGTGCGTTTGAATTTAAAATTTTTTCGAAATAGCGTAACGCTTTTTTTTAAATTTAGACCCTACGCAAATAGACTATTGGACTTACACAAAAAATAAAATTATTGCAAAGTACCTATACAGTAAGCTTATTCCTGATATAAGATTTAAATTTTAGTCAAGAGGTTGGTGACTGATAAAATATTATTATGTTATTTAAGAAGAGTTACCCGTTTTCGCCATAGCCCTTTTCCTCCAAAAACGAAAAAGGTACGATTACCGTTTTCGGAAAAAAATTATGKAATTTTTTAAAACATGACCTATACTTGTATTATAATTTATTTTAATAAGCATATTTTCATGTGATAAGAATATTCTATAACATTTGTACATAATATAGTTTATAAATAATAATTGGCGGAGATATCTTTTCACTAAAATCGATTTTGGMGGAAACGCGCGGGAATCATACCGTTTTCGTTTTGGCGGAAATGGACTATCGACTCAAAAGTTAAAAGCCTATCATTAACTATAACTTTACGATTTCTGTTGTACATTATTGTACCACTATATTATAGCTCAATACGGATGAAAGGTATCAGACAAAATAATATACCTATACCTGCATTTAAAACCAACTCATCTATCTAGAACAATATATATCACTATGGAAGTGTATATGTATAGGATTTATCGCAATATCGAAATACCTATACCTATACCAAATATTGAAATACCCATAAAATAATATAACGTATGTATATATGCCAAGTGAAGAAGTTTACAATGCACACCTTAATTTCGCATTATAAAAAAATAAAGTATAGTAATATTACATATTATAAAAAAAAAAATAATAATGTTTATGCATAAAAGCCGCTCGTGAATGTGATAGATATTTTCAAAAATTTCATTACTATTTTAATCACACAGCAATACAGTATAGTAATAATATTATAGYCTTTATATTATTATACATAATATTGGGACAGTGGGCAGCAAAATTAATTTTTTTAATACGACATATATTATATGGATGATTTACCGTATATTATATTATTATATTTTATTTAACGTGCGCGCGACTTAAAAGAATTATAATTCGCCTTCGAATGATTAAAAGTTTTTTCGAATTTTATGTTTATTCCCGCAATAACGCTTATAATATATATAATGCGTACCGATATATTATAATATATTATATATATATGTGTGTGTATACATTTATGTGGAGATTATAATATGCCTTTTTATTTTACAGCCTCGCATATGTATATTATGTATAATATAATCCTTAAAACGATTATGTACCCATAATGATGGATACATTGAGCGGATATTATAATATATGCATATGGGTGTATCTCACGACCCAGTGTATACGGATCTCATATGTGCAGAACATTCAATAAAAATTCGCACGATTGGACTGCTCGTGGTGTGGAGGGGGGACATTGGGAGACATCGCGCAAACGTTGTGAATGATTTTTCGCGCCACCCAAAAGAATGTTGCGGAGGTCGTGTCGAATGAGTATAATATTATATACATAATAGTGCATACACGCTATATATATATAGGCACCTATTTCTCCGTTAAAATATAATTTTATTGCTCGGTCATGTCATATAGGCACCAAACGGCACTAAATTAAAATATGTACATAATATATATATATATATATATGTATATAAACAAATCGTTTAATACGAAACAGGTATTAATAAAAATATTTAAAATAATGTGTGCAGTMGTCCCGTATAATATAATGTGCATATAATGCACCCATATAACAATAATAATATATGCAAAGGGTGATTCACCAAGCATACTTATATTCACCCGCACTTAACCCCATATTTTTTTCCTTTGATAATAAATTCCGATTTTTTTTTTTGGATTTTTCAAGTACCTACTTAGATAAAAATTATAGCTACACGCATAAAACCCGTATTTTCAAATACTTATTTTTTTTTCAAGCCATTTAATATTATGTTAATCTGTTCTGTGGCGAATACAAACTTCTTTTTTTTCAAATAAGAATCACATATATTTTACTTTAAATATTGCTAAGCAGATGTTTTTTCTTTTAATTTAGGTTTATGCAACGGAAATTGAAACGAGTTGTTTTAAGGTAAACCCGAGTCTTTTAAATACAATAATTAAAAAAAAAAATCATATAAAAATCAAATAGAAATAATAGAAAAATATATAATTATTAACCTGACGTAAGTAATACGTACCTACATAAATTATGTTCAGATTTATTATTTATATATATTATATTCAGATACTTATATCTTTTTTTACACAATATTAAAATAAATAATATAATAATTATTGAATATCTTATACTTAATAGAGCTTTTGTAAAGTGATGTATATTTGGTTTTTATATGGAATTTACGTGCTTTCAGGTAAAAAAGAGGTATCGGTGGAATTTACATGCTATAAATCCAACCCTAAAATCGACTACCTGTAAATCGGTGGAGTT